TGAGACAGGGTTTCTCTGTGTAGCTTTGTGCCTTTCCTGGAACTCACTTGGTAGCTCAGGCTGGCCTTGAACTCACAGAGATCCGCCTGCCTCTGCTTCCTGAGTGCTGGGATTAAAGGCGTGCACCACCACCACCACCACCACCACCACCACCACCACCACCACTGCCCGGCTTATTTTTAAATTTTTAATTTCTTTTTATTTTATGTGTTTTGAGTGTTTTGCCTGCACATATATGTGTGTTCAAATCATACATACCTGATGCCCTTGGAGGTACCAGAAGAGAGAATTTGATCCTCTGAAATGGATTTACAGATAGTTGGGAGCCACCATGTGGGTGCAGGGAACTGAACCTAGATCTTCTTCAAGAGCAACAAGGGCTCCTAACAGCTGAACCATCCATCTCTCCCACCCTATTTTTTATTTTTATGTATATGAGTGTTTTGTCTACTTATGTGTATGTGCACCATCCATGTACCTGGTGCCCAAGAACTGGAGTTATAGACAGTTCTTAGTCATCATGTGGGTGCCGGGAACCGAACCTGGGTCTTCAGAAAGAGCAGCCAGTGCTCTTGGCCACTGAGCCATCTCTCCACATACCCTCCTTTTTGAGACAAGGTTTTATTTTGTAGCTGGCCCCAGACTTACTAAGTAGCCCAGGCTGACTTCAAATTTGAGACACCGCCCCCCCCCACTTAGTCTCTGGAGTGCTTCTGGGCATGGGCACCACCCTGCTCGAGATTTGTGTGTTTTCAAATGAAATTCTGCTTTAGATTTTAAAAAATCAACCACTTAAAAATATAAAAGTCATCTTAACTTGTGGATTAAATAGACATGAGGCTAGACTTGGTCCAAACTGGTTACGTTGTCCATGCCTATCTCTAAACAAATTCAGGCCTAAGGAATTCCAGGTTGAAAAAGTGCGTCTGTGCTTTTAAAGAGAATACCATAGCCTTTACGAGAAGAATATTCAGATGTCTCACAGCTCCAATTAAGACAAATGAAGAGTAATGTGAATGTGCTTTTAAAAAAACCTTCAAAGCACGATAGAGTGCTGAGTATTATTATTGTTGTTGCTATTATTCCATCATTAGCAAGTCCTGTCTTATGGCTACCCTCATTTTCTCACGTGTACTAGAGTCTTTATTCCTGTTACTGAGGAGGTTGTAGCACAGCTCCTTCCCACTCTCTGAATGGTATCTGAATATAGTTCTCCACCTTTGGGCTGAATGCCATCCAAATTGCCTTAGCTTTGCTCTTAATTTTGATTTTCTAAATGATTTCATCATCTTTGTCGTTCCTGCTGCTCTCTAGCTCCTGCTAGACACACGGGCATAATACCACAAGATAAATGATAGAAATGAGTATATTTAATGTCATCCGATGATGATTTAAAAAAACCACAAAATCCTTTCCGAGCTGGCAGTGGAGCAGGTTGCCCGGTTCCTCTGTTCTGCCTCCTGCGACAGCGCATACGAAACATGGGTGGGCTCGGGATATTTGCATATATTCTGGGAACAGACAATGACATGTGTCGGATCACAAGGCCTGAGTCTTTTGTGATGTGTACAGCCGGGATGCTGGTACCAACAGAAAAGCCAGGCTCTGAGGCCCATCTCTTTCCTGCTCCGCCTTCTCCCTTTGAGTCCTACTACCCGCTCCTGACCCGGGCTGCCCCTGCTTCACTGACAATATCAGACAGGATCACAGCCGTAGGCAGTACAGCTGCGGGCAGAACCTGGTGGCCCCCTCCGCAGCTGCTGCTTCCTGTGCCTGCGAAGTGTCGGGCTTGTCAGCCACATCCCCTCCCTGGAGCAATCTTTGTTAACCAATTCCACTTCGGCCCACTGAGCAGAAGATGAAATACAGAGAGCTGTTCCCAAACCGACAAAGACAGCAGCCATTACCAAGGCCCTTCCCCAAGGTGATGCTGAAAGCTGGTTCACCTGGCACTTTGAGCCGGAGCAGAGAGAAAGGCAGCCAGAGCCCGTGATGGGAAATGGATGATTCAGGAGGGTTGTCTGCCCCTTCCCGGGCCCTCCTGCTCCTTCCTCCCTCCTGACACCCTGCCCTATTTTGTAACTGCTGGAGATTCCTCATCGATCACTGGCTCCCCACAGTACGTGGGCCACAGAGGCGTCAACAAGGCCCTCCAGAGCAGTCTTCGATGGCCTCTTCTCAGTGCTGGAGCAAAGCAGGCTGTAAGGAAGGTGTAGGTCCTAGCAAGGGCCCCCAGTTCAGGCGATGGGCATGCTGGGAAGTGGCAGTTGCAAACTTGCTAGGGTTCCCTGGTAACCCTAGGGTTTTAGACCCTCCTTTCTGGACTAGTCCTAACTATTCATTTCTTAGTCTCCCCCTCCACCCCTTCCCGCTTTATGTAAAGGCCTCTGTCTTTTCATCTTTCTTCTCAAACTTTGTAGCTTGTGTCTAAGAAAAAAAAAAAAAAAAGAAGAAGAAAAGAAAAGAAAAAAAGAAAAAGAAAAGAGAAAAGAGAAGGGGGGATCCCTAAGCACTCTAAGCATAAGAGTAAGGAATTGATGTCGAATGAGTAGGCTATTTATTGGGATCTAGGAAAAACCATTAAGAAAATAAGCACTTAAATGATTTTCAATCTGCCTGTGGAAGTCATCTGTCTTCATACTTGGGGAAAGGCCCGGTCTCCGATCCCGGTTTTGATTGACTGATTTCCAATTCTCTGAGCATTTCCCATAGGAGCCTCTCACCTATCTCCCATAATGACAGGCCTTTGCATTTCCAGGCAGTGTTTTACATTTATTTCCGATTTGCTCATAATGGTCAAAAATCTCTCTTCAATCCAAGGCATTTCTCCAACAGTGCACGTTTTCCCTCAGGCCAAATAGCTCAGCTGTGATCCACGGAAAATGAGAATTTCCCAAACACATCTTCGGACTTGGGGAGGGTCTAGCATCACAGATTCAGATGGAAAATTTCCCACTGTTAGATCAATATCTGGGCTAAGAAATAAATGCCACAGGGGCAGAGAGCTGGAGCAAAATGATTACAATCGGCACAATTACATTCACCGCAGAATCAGCTCACTGATTACTCCTAGGGTTGGGGAGTTCTGGTTTCACCCACCAGAGGACGGTTTGGGAATTAGAACATCACTCAGCATTTCATAATTCGACAGATTTGCCCCGTTGTCTTGGCACAAGTTCATTTTCCCCACACAATATGTCTCTGCAAATGGAGTTCTGTTTCAAGGAAAGAAGGAAGGTAGGAAGGAAGGCAAGATGGAAGAAAGGAAGAGCACATGGGAGGCCAAGGCTGCTAGATTAAAGGCAGGGCTCAAGAGTCACTCTGTGGGGTTTCTGGACCAGAGAGCGGACATATCTGCTCGGGTGAGCTGTAAGCCGCATCTTTCCCACAATTCCACTCAGCCTCGAGTCCATCAGGTAAAAAGGTTCAAGAACACCTGACTAGGCGTAGCGGTACATGCCTGAAGTCCAACATTTGGGAGACGATGGCAGAAAGACCTCGAGGTTGAGGCCAGTCTAGGATACACAGTGAGTCCCTTTCTCAAACAAACCAAAACAAAAGCACACATCTGAGACGGGGGTGTGGCTTGGTGAGGTATTTGTCTAGTGTGCAGGAATCCCTGGTGTCCGTCTCCAGCATCACAACCTAACTACAAAACACTGGGTGCTTTTTATTTTTGGAGATGCTGGGATGTGACCCACAGACTTGTGCATGCTAGGCAAGGGCTCTCCACTAAGTCCCACCTCCCACCCACACCCTCAGCCTTTGGGGTGGCTTCTTAATTATCTTGTTGACCAAGAAGTTGACTAGGCAAGTTTTCAGGACCTAAGAACTAATCTGAAGTTCTTTTGGGCGGCTACAGAAAAGAGACTGGCTCCTGGCTGAGGATTCTGTCTCATGGAGCCTAAGCTGAGCTTTGAAGAGGCAGAGCTGGCGTGGCTATCTCCCCGTGAATGCCGGGTAGGCGGGGGCCATGGCGAATGGATTGGGCGTGCTGCGCGGCTCTGTGTACTGACACCGGCCCCCAGGCCCACGGCATCCCTACCCCCTCCCAGTCTCCTCTTTAATCCCCACAACCAGATAATGTGGGATTTGGAAGCATGTAATAGCCATGAGACTCCATTATAGGCTATTACGAGCTTTATAGGCAGTACCTGGGGGATGCAGCAGGCTGCTGCTGCTGTGCTGTGGGGCTGCTGGGGCCAACAGGGAAGGAACACAGGAGCAGCCCCAAGGGCCAGAGGCACCTTTCCATTGTTTAGATACCCCCCCCCAAGGGACTCTGGTCTCTGGTGTCGGAGAGTCAGAAACCACCGAAGGGAAACGGCTGTCTCCCTCACAGACTGAGAAGGGTGGGAGAAGCCTAGAGATTCAAACACCAGAGATTCTCCGAGTTTATTGTTGGCGATCTGTGCACCATCCAGTGTCTGCGCTTGCGTTCGGAAGTGCCACAGGCCTTGGGGTGATCTTTTGGAGCGCCACAGGCTTGGCATCCCCTGAAGGTTGAGTGGCAACCCCAGGCATCCTGGTGACAACCACGAACCAGCCGGTACCACTTCCATTCAGTGTCCTGGGTTTCACAGGAGGAATTTGGGACGCGGAGTAGTGAGTCACTGGTCAAGGTCACATCAAGGTGACACCCAGATTAGAAGCAGAGTCAGATCTCCTTTTCGATGAAATAAGTCACAGAGAAGAAGCAAATGAGGCAGACAAATTCACAGGAAGGACAAGGCAGTGTATAATAAGAAGACAGATGGGGTGGGGGTGGGGTGAGGGTGGGGGTGAGGTGAGGGGGGTGGGGGGTGGGAGCTAGAGGCTGGGACATAAGAATGCATACTGCTTTTCCAGAGGACCTAAGTTCTGTTCCCAGCAACCATGTTGGGTGTTTCACAGCTGCCTGTAACCCCAGCTCCTGGAGGGGGGAGGTCAGACACCTCTAGCCTTTGTGGGCCCTTGCACTCAAGTATGCACGCACACGTACAAAATTTTAAAAACTTATAATAAAATAAATCTTTGAAAAATAAAGTGGGGAAGGGGAAAAAAAAGAAATGGGAAAGGAAACAGAACAACACAGAGGGCCCCTCAAAGAAGGGACAGGAGGAAGGGCGAGAAACCGCATTTGGGCGGACACCTGCTATTTCGTTTGGCATTTCCAAGGTGTAGTGAAGGTTGTGGGGACTCAGGACCTCTGCTGTCAGGATGGAGGGACAAGCAAAACAGATCTCAGTGTCAAGGGAGGCCTTGGGAATGGCCTGGAAACCGACTGCGGATCTAGATGGCATCACCTGGGCTCTGAATGTCACAGCAAGCTGGAAGGCTGTAGACGTGGGTCCCTCACTGAGGAATGAGGATAGGTGGCCAGGGCCGCGACAAATCCCTTCACCCAGATGGCCTTTTCTTTTTTGAAACAGGCAGACTGAGCTCTTGTTTCTGGGAAAGAAGGAGAATCCAGAATTAAAGACAATCCAGGCCACTCTGTCTAGGCAGGGAATTGACCATGAGTATCTTTCATCAGCGGATTTAAAGCAACGTTTCCCAAACATTCAACTTGCCAGCGGAGAAGCAGGGCTCTTGGACAAGACTGGAGGTATCCTCTATGCAGACAAGGCCCTCAGAGCCCTCCAGGTAAGGCTGTGCAGCCCCAGACCAATACAGCTCCCTTCTCTGGGCATCCTAGCTTCAGACTGGAAGCCCCCAGTGCATTCAATATGAAAGTTTTTGCCTTGTTCACTTTGGTCCTGATTTTTTAAGGCAGGGTTCTCTCTCTCTCTCTCTCTCTCTCTCTCTCTCTCTCTCTCTCTCTCTCTCTCTCTCTCTCTCTCTCTCTCTCTCTCCACCCTGGCTGTCCAGGATCTCACCTCGAATTCACAGAGATCCACCTGTCTCCGCCTCCCTAGCACTGGGATTAAAGGCGTGCACCGCCGCCGCCGCCACCACCACCGCCCATCCTGAGATTCCAAAATCTTGTCTGCCCTAAGTGAGCAGCTCTTGGTCTCCTAGGGTGAACCACGTCACAATTAATTAATTCGTCTTTCTTGGGCCTGCCCTTCCAGCACATGATTTGCCAGCTGGGAGGCACAGTGTGTGACGGAGAGAAGGTGGTGGATATAATACCCGGTCTGCCTGTCACGGTGAAGACCACCTCGAAGAGCTATCAAGCCAACAGCCTGGTCATCACTGCTGGTCCCTGGACCAACCGGGTTCTCCGTCCCCTGGGAATTGAGTTGCCTCTCCAGGTAGGGCAAGCGGAGCCTGAGAGTCAGTAACTAAGAGAGGAAACCTTGGAGCCAGCCAGGCTTGACTCAGCCTTGGACCTGCCACTTCCTAGCAGTCAACACTGGAAATTAGTTCACCTCATTAAGCGTCAGGTTTTACCAGTGTGGGAAATTACAGCTACCTCAAAAGGCTATTGGTAAACTAATTTATCTGCTGTGTGTAGAGCCTCCAGGAGATGGCCAGACTTCTAGTAAGCATAATATGAATAAATAGGAAGTGTATGGACTCCTGGAAAGATGGTGGAGGAGGGCTGGGGTGCTGCCGTGGGAGAAATCTAAGAATAGAGACAAGATAAGTTTGGAGACCTTTGTGCAACATAATGTGTATTATGAGTACGTGAGACAAGAATTAGGTCAAGCAGGCTGGCTAGGAAAGGGCCACAGGACCCTACCAGAATTGGCTATTCCATGACTTCCCCCTTTATCGCCTATTTCCTCCTGCATCAAGACCCTTAGGATCAATGTGTGTTACTGGCGAGAGAAGGTCCCTGGGAGCTATAGCGTATCACAGGCTTTCCCGTGTATTCTGAGTCTGGACATGGCCCCCCACCACATCTATGGACTTCCAGCATCAGAGTACCCAGGGCTGATGAAGGTAAGCTACTGGACTACTAGGGGTCCATGCACTTCTGGGCACTCATACCTAATTCATGTTCCAACATATCTCTGTAGGACCCTCCCGGAGCCTGCTTCACTATTGATCTATTACACTATTTACAGCATAATACCCTATGTCCCACCCTGCCCTGAGGCCTAGGGTGCATTGTCCTTATAAACACAGGGTGGTGCTGGAGATGAGCACTGGGCAACTTCAGGTGCTAACACATCCTAGCCCCTGCCAGGATCGGGGATTGGGATGATGGGTGGAGACACCCTGCGTCCAAACCCACCCTTCACTGGCTGGTATGTTCAAAAGGCCAGCTTTACAGCCTATGCTATTCCAATGGGGGCATAGATCTGCTATCACCATGGTGACAGTGTGGACCCAGAGGAGCGGGACTGCCCCACAACCGTCTCGGGCACCCAAGATGTTCAGATTCTATGCCACTTTGTCAGAGACCACTTACCAGGCCTTCGGCCCGAGCCAGACATCATGGAGCGCTGCATGTACACGGTAAGCCGGCTGTTCCGAGGAACAGGGGAGGAGATCGACAGACCCATAACTGCCAGGCCTGACTCCATTTGACCTCTCACCCAGTATGTGACTTTAAACTAGCCAGCTAATTCCTGTGGGTGGTTCACCTCGATAAGAGAGGGGCCTGTTAGAGATTATTCATATTTCTTTTTATTAGGCGGCGAGGCTTTTGCCTGGCAGTCCTTCCCTATATTTCCCAGAAGAGCTCTAAAACAGTTCTTGGCAAGATGCTCCCAGTTGAGCAGGCCTTGGGGACAAAGAGAAGAGACAGATGCCACTGGGCCCGAGGCATCTTGGCTAAAGTTAGTTCGCAAAGATGACCACCTACTGTGTCCAGGGCACAGCAGGAAAGTGACAGCTGTTCAGTAAGAACCGGCATGTCTAGAAGGGATGGGCCGGCAGGGGCCGACCTCAGCCCCATGCAGTCCTCTAGGGAAAGAGTCCCAGGCCAGTTCCTTCCTGCCCCAGCCTGTAGGCCCTACCCCTCCTGTCCTCAGAGGACACAGGTATGACCTTCTTTCTAGAACACGCCCGATGAGCACTTCATTCTTGATTGTCACCCAAAGTACGACAACATCGTCATCGGCGCTGGATTCTCTGGTGAGCTTGAGGATGGGAAGGTGGGGAACAGACCCACTGAAGTACCAGACAGACGGGGCTCCCGTGGGCATTAACTGAAGTCCGGACACTGGGTGTATAGGGAGGGTAGGCAGTCAAAAAAAGGGGGCACTTGTGGCAGAAGGCAATGTCTAGCTTTGGGATCAGACCAAGAGGAAAGGAAACACTGTTTGGATGTGGAAGGAACTTCCCTAGAGCTCAGAGTCTGTGCTTGAAGACACACATTCTTCACCCAGGGCATGGATTCAAGCTCTCCCCTGTCGTGGGGAAGATCCTCTGTGAGCTAAGCATGAAATTACCACCGTCCTATGACTTGGTGCCGTTTCGAATGAGCCGCTTCTCTCCACGGATCAAAGCCCACTTTAGACTCCAGCTGACTCCTGAGGAGGAGAGCCCTCATGGGGAAGACTTCTAGAAGGAAGTGACCTTAACATGTTTCCTTTCCTTCTGCTTCTATGGAATCTCCTGTAAACACTAAATGATTGACCCTCTTTTCCCAGTCATCTTCCCAAGTCCATCTATCTCCTTTCCCATCCCCGGAAAGTCAGCCAGAGATTCACCATCCCAGAACAGCAAGGAGCTTTAAGATGGATGTCTCAATGGGGAGGGGCTTGAGATGGGCTGAGTAGACTAGGGGCTCCTTGAATTTCTCTTTCTTGAGCATGCTCTGACTAAATCTGCACAGGGGAGCGTGAAGAAGATTATCTTTTATAAACCACTAGTGCCTTTGGGGTTTCCTTCCCAAGAGCTTGAACCGGTCTCCATCACCAGCTCACATAAAGTCTTACCTCTAATAAATAAACATTTGCCAGGAAAAAGAAAAAAGTTGCTGGAAAAAAATAAACAAAAACCCCACATTGCCCAGTGTCTGAGGAAGTCTTTATTGTCTATGTAACTCTATTTCTTATCAGCTTTAATGATCTAAATTAGCACCCCAGAGTCTGCTACCCCCAGGAATCCACAGAGTCTCTGTCCCGGCGACGCACTGTGCCCTTCTTGTCTGCTGTTTGTCTCATCCTCATCTTCTCTCTGGATCTGTGGAGAGGCTCAGCTCCCCACTCTCTCATTAAGGTGTATTGTCAGGTCCTTATGAAGACAGAACTGTTATACCAGAAAGGAAGCCAGAGACACACTCGCTTAGAAACCCCGTTCAATGTTTGAATGTTAAATGTGCCATTTTATTATCATTAGGATTGCTCCCACTTAATGAAACAGCATTAGCACCCGGGCGGCTGGCCTCCTTGCACTAATTGCTTTGGAAGAGAATGGGGCTTGTAACTACCCCTGGGTGGGTGGAGGGGTGAGGGGTGTGAACAGGGATTCAGGCAAGGTTGATGTGCTTAGATGGTACCCAAAAGCCAGGGGGCAGGGGGCCTCCAAAGAGGGCCAGTTCCACCCTGGAGAGCAGGATCTTAGTGTTCCAGGGAGAGAGAAGCTGGGACAAAGAGGGGTGGGTATGACAGGGAAAGTGAGCAATAGGAATAAAATATCCACAAAGAAACACACCGCAAGGAAAATTACTCCACTTACCTTTCAGTCCTTAAAGACCCAGACTTGTGCCTTAGCCCTGATTGATTTCTCCAGTGAGTTCCAAATGCTAGCTCGTCCTGTCAGCCCCATGACAAGTCTGTTTTTGGGGTAATTTCACACAGTTCTCAGAAACTCAGTTCTATAAAATGGCAATAATAATACTGACCAACTATACAGAGGTGTGTAAGGATCAGATATTATTATCACTTACTCATCTGACACAGAAATATTGACTTAGTTTCTATTATATGTCGGGTACTGTGTAGTGTGCTAGTTAGTTTTAACTGTCTATTGGACGCAACCCAGAATATCTGGGAAGAGAATCTTAATGAGGGATTCCATGGATTGACCTGTGGCATGTCTGTGAAGGATTGTCTTGATTACTGACATGTGAAGACTCAGGCCACTGTGGGCATCATCATTCCCTAGGCAGAGGTCTCTAGACTCTATAAGGATAGGGAAGGCTGCTGAGTATTAGGCAAGCAAGGACACATACAGTTATTCTCTCTGCTCTTGACCATAGATGCAATACTTGTAAGTTTCTGCCTTGACTTCCCTACAATAATGGGCTCTAATCTGGATCTGTAAGACAAGTAAATCCCTTTCTTCCCTAAATTGCTTTTTTCCAGGATATTCGTCACAGCAACAGAAAAAGGAACCAAGACAATCAGTAAACACACAGATGGAAATCCCTGTTCTGAAACAGCAGAGTGGGCCTGTCTTAGTTAGTTAGGGTTTCTGTTGTTGTGATAAAGCACCATGACCATAAACAACTTGGGGAAGAAAGGGTTGATTTCAGCTTAAATCTCTCAAGTCACACTCCACTGCTGAAGGACGTCTGCAGGAACTCAAACAAGGCAGGAACCTGGAGTCCAGAGTTGATGCAGAGGTCATGGAGGGGTGCTGCTTACTGGCTTTCTCTTACTGGCTTGCTCAGCTTGCTTTCTTACAGCACCCAGAACCACCAGCCCAAGTGTAGCACCACTCACAATGAACTGGGCCCTCCCACATCAATCACTAGTTAAGAAAATGCCCTGCAGGCTTTCCTGCAACCTGATCTTATAGAGGCATTTTCTTAGTTGAGAGTTCTTCTTCTTCCCAAATGACTCTAGCTTGTGTCAAGTTGACATAAAACTAGCCCGCACAGGGCCTCAAAAAAATTAGAAAGAGAAGTAATCTATGATCTGGCAGTTCCACTTCTGAGTAGGTCTAAAGATTTGAAAGTAGTGTCTCCAAATGATATCTATACACCCATGATTTAGCATCATTATTCACAATGGCCAGAAACAGCCCAGATGTCCATGAACACATGAATGGATGAACAAAACATAGTCTGTACATGTCACGGGGTAGTACTGAGTCTTGAAAAGGAAGAGACCCTGACACGTACTGCTTCATGGCTAAAATGAGGGCGCGTTAAGTGAAATAAGCAAAGAGACAGAAGGACCAATCCTGTGTAGACCCACCTGTGCGAGTCCAGTGGTGAGATTCACAGAGGCTGAGAGAGAATGCGCCAGGGCTGAGAGGAGGAAGAGGAAGCTGTGCTTTGTTATACATCCAGAGCTCAGTTTTTGGAGGATGACAGAAGTTCTGGGAGTTGTGCGAATGTGTTTAATGTCACTGAGCTAACTATGCACCTCACGGAGCTGAGACGATAAATGTTACATGTATTCTACCACGACTTTTAAAACTTTACTCTTATGGAGCTGATGGTGGCAGTGAGAAGACATGTAAGCAGTGCATGCACGTAAATTAATTTATTTTTATTTTTATTTTTTTTATGAGACAGGGTTTCTCTGTGTAGCCCTGGTTTTTGCTCTGTAGACCAGGCTGACCTTGAGCTAAGAACATACATGTAAGTTATAACACATGTAAATTAAAACATATAATGTTCTGGGGGACATCAGACTAGGGAGGGACAAGAAACTCTGGGAGAAGCTGAGCCTTCCCATGAGTGGTCAACGGTAGTCTTACTGAGGAGTGGGTCACGAAGGGCGAGCCATGCACTGGATGTCTATTAAAGAACGGCGTGAAGAGCTGAGGGGGTGTGGCTCCTTTGGTAGAGTATCTGCCTAGTGTGCATGAAGCCCCAGATTCAGATTCCCCAGCAGCACACAAACCAGGCATGGTGCCCACCTGTAACCTCAGCACTTAGAAGACAGAGGCAGGAGGACCAGAAGTTCAAGGTCATGCTCAGCTATATAGAGATGAACTTGAGGCCAGCATGGTTCTGTTTGAAAAAGAAAAGGAATGGGCACAAAGCAAAAGACTGTGGTATAGTATAACATGTGTGTGTGTGGGGGGGAGGGCATGTCAGACCGCGTTCTTCCCATGAGCTCAGCAACTCCATCTCACGCTGACAAAGCTGGCGAGAGCCGTCTAAGGAGCATGCCTCTGCTGCAGGGCCTACCGCCCGCCTTCTGTTTCCTCTGCCTCTCCGATGCGCTGGCCTCCTCCCCCAGCCAGCTGCAGTTCCCCTTCCAAAATATCCAGCTTTATTCAGCTTGTCAGTGACAGCCAAAAGGGGAGACCAATGTCTTGCAGAGGCTGAGAAAGGACAAGTGGGGGAGACTAGCAAACCCTGCCTGAGCAGCCTTAGGCCTTGACCACAGAGTCTCCACGGAAGCAACAGCCACAGAGCGGTAGCCGTGGCGCCAAGGGGTGTGTGGGACCAGGCTGGCAGAGAATGGGGTGAAACGGAGGGTCAGGTGAGGAGAGACTGGCATCCTGCGGCCAAGGAGGAGAGCCGGGCCTGCGGGAGCATGGCACACACAAAGCCGTGCATCGGTGGGAGGCAGGGAGGGAGCTGTCCGTAGCTGGAGTTGGATGGGATCACAGGAGAGGTGACCTAGGGGGAAGTCTGGGAGCACAGGGAAGCAGAAGTCCCTGCGGAAGGGGTTGGAGGACGGGGTGAGGGCCTCTGCAGTAGTCAGGGCTTTGCCCAGCACAGCAGCATTATCTCATTCGCCTGAGCATGGCCAGGCAGCCCCTTCATGGGCAGCCCCTCCATATCTTCAAGATGGAAGAAAAATCAGAAGCAATTGGGAGGTAGTAAGAGTCCTCAGGAGGGGCAGCTGGGGTCTGCACAGGCTGCGAGGGAAAGATAAGGGCAATGAAGAGAAAGAGGCCAGAGTGGTTGCCAACCAGACTAGGGAAAACAGAGGCAGGCTAAAAATAGACCGGGGCTGCAGAGGGAGGAGAGCCAGGCCAGAAAAGGCGGGGAGCCGAGGCAATCGATGCTGCTCCCCACTCTGACCCAATTCTTCATCCCTCGGCCTCACCAAATTGACAAATGAGGTCTTGGTGGGGAAAGAGGGGGAGACTGGCCCAGAGGGAGGGCAGGACCTAGGAACTCGGCGATCTGAAGGTCAGGCCTGGTTCAACTCTCTCGGCGAAGTCTGGTGGTACTCCTGAACAGGCCCGAGAGCTTAAGGAATGTGCATCCAGCCTGGAAGGGGCCAGAACAAGGCAAAGAGAAGAGCTGACCTCCAGACACAGGCTGGAAAATGACTCTAGGCATGCCTGCATTTCACTTCTCAGAGAGAACAATGAAAGAGAATCTGGCTCTTTCTGTGTCGGACAGGCTTTGCAGCAAGAGGGATTTAGATTAGACTTCAGGAAATCTATCCCCTTAGGCAGAAGCGTGAGAAATTAAGACATGGACATGAGCACTGTTAGAGCACTTTCTGCGAGCATCATCGTCGGCATGGAGAAGCCCTTCTCCTCAGGCCTGGAGAGGCTCACCTGAAGGCCAGGGCCTGTGGCATCCCCCTGGAAGACAGCTGGCTAGGCTCCCTGTGACTCTGCACCATTGGAGACAGGTTGCTAGGTGTAGGAGGGATACACAAGGAGGGTTGGATCTGTCAGCCCGGGTAGGGGTGGGGGAGGGGTGGGGAGGGAGGGACAAGGGGCAGGCTTCTATCCTGCGTGCCCAGTGGCATTTGCATAACTTTGAATAATGAATAAGCCCAGCTCTGGGGTTCCTACTCAGCACCGCTCATCTGCATCTTTATTAAGCTTTATAAATGATTCAGCTCTCTACCCCTTCCCTCAGCCCTGCCCAGCCTGCCCCGAGCATCAGGGTAGCTGATTGCTCATTATTTTAGACTAGATTTGTTTCACCAACATCCAGTGAGGCATGGAGTGGGGGACGCAGGAGGGAGGAATGGATCCAGTGGGCAGGAAGAGTGGAGGGGTCGGACCAGAGTGTGGAAGCAGCTACAAGAAGGCAAGTTCGAGGCCAGCTCCAAGCAGAGACAGGGCAGCTACAGACCAGAGCATATTTCTTTAACTTGATCCTGGGGCCAACATCTTAGGGCAGAGCCATTTCGTAGAGTCCCTGAACTGTATGTACTGGGTTCAAATCCTACTTAAATCCCTCACTTTGCTTAGGTCTGCTGCCAAGCTCCCAGCAGGCTCTGGCTCAGCTCCAGCTCTGCACGCAGTAGCGCAGTAGCGTCTTGAACAGCCAAGTGAGTACAGCCCCTGGGGAAGTTCTCACTTTTTCCTGAGGCAGGAATTTTGCTATTTGCACAGAAAAGGGTAAAAAAAAAAAAATCTGTTATCCTTGCAAGGCAAGAGGCAGCACTGGGCTATTAGGGAGAAAGAGCTGGGAACAGGCACGCACGGTGTGTGAATTTGGAGGGAAAGGAGCACCCTGTCCAGTACACCTCAAAAGAGGTGCTGGAGGAGGTGTTTACCCTCTTGGCCAGCTTGCTCATGCCGGCAGCCCTGTGAACTGCCTGGTCTGTCTGCCGACTGAAGGCTGGGAGATGTATTTCACAGCCTGGATAGGAGGGACCTCCAAGTCCTGGATAGGAGGGACCTCCAAGTGCAGGGACCTCTAAGTGCTGGAAGACAGACAGGGCTTTTCTCTAATCTGGCTGCCCATGAAAACTTATGTGATGCAGGGGCCGCACCCAAGGCCAGTTAAATCGGAATCCCTGAGAGAAAAGGCTGTACACATAGTCTTTTATTATTTTTTAAAGCCCTTTAATCTTGTTTGGATCTCGTTTTGAACAAACCAACCCCCCACCTTTTTTTTCAATACTGAGGACTGAATTCAGGGTCCTGCACACGCCAGTCAAATGTTACACAGTTGAGCTGTATTCCCACCTCTTACTATTTTATCATTTTGTGACCGTGTGTGCACGTGGGTGAATGCAGGTGCAAGCTTGCCATGTGTAGAGATCAGGCCTTTGGTATCTCTCTTTATCTTCCACCTTGTTCACCACTGTGTAGTACTCCAGGCTAGCTGGACAGAGAGCCTCCTTGGATTCTCCCACCTTGTCAGAGCACTGTGACTGCAGATGTGCTACCAAGACCAGCTTTTATACAGGCTCTGGGATCTGAACCCAGGTCCTCAGGCTAACAAAGCAAGAGTTCTACACACTGAGCCATCTCCTCAGCCCTTATCCCCTTTTTATTTTTATTTTTGGAACAGACTCACTAAGTTGCCTAGGCTGGCCTTGAACTTGTGATTTTCCTGCCTCAGCCTCCTGAGTACTTGCGATTACAGGCCTGTGCATCTGTTTGATATAAAACGCATGTATAAATACATGTAAAATAAAAACTAGCAACAGTAGGGAAATTTAAATACTGACTGGATGTTTGATAGTAAGAAACTATTGATCAGTTTTTGGGTGTGATGAGAGTGTTGTGATTATCTTTTTGTAAGAGCCATTTTCTTTTCTTTGGGGGGGGGATCAATAAAAAGGGTTTCCTGATGAATCGTCAGCTCTGCCACCACCTGACGGGGGAAGGGAGTGGGGCATAGATCCCTACCGAACACTGTTGTGACTCGAAGGGTAACACGGAGTCATTTTACTTTTCTTTTTACATTTTGTTCACAAACAGAAATGGCTGCAGCTCTGACCCTCGGGGGAACCAGGACTTAGGAGAGCAGGGACCCAGAGCACCTCTGAGAACAGAACCAGCTTCTGGAAGGGTCTTGCATGATTCTGCATAACAGTGGAAGGCCCGTCCTCTAACATCTGAGGCCTCAGGCTACATGGGCACAAAACCAGAGCTGCAGAGTCCTCATCAGGCTTCTTGTGCCCACCAGCCTCTAGAGCAGTGGTTCTCACCCTTCCTAATGCTGCGACCCTTTAGCACAGTTCCTGGTGGTGTGCTGACCCCCAACCATAAAATTATTTTCCTTGCTACTTCATAACTGTAATTTGTTACTGTAAGTATCTGATTTTCGACTCCTGTGAAAGGGTCGCTGGACTCATAAAGGGTGGCGACAGGTTGAGAATCTGTGCTCCGAACACTTGTCTATGTTCTGTGGACCAGAAAGCCACTTCCTGAAGCATCCCACCCTCAGCCGGCTCTCTAGGAGCCTGACCCCCACTGGCTGTCAGCCACTCTTCCCTGGACTCATCGGCCTCTGACCAGTCAGGGCACACTAGCCCAGATGACTTCATCGTCACGGAGGTGAGGGGATGCAGTACACAAGTGGAGGGAATATGGACGGGCAGGCGGGCGGCAGGCGGGTGCCAGGCACCCACCCACAGCGGCGGAAGAAGCTCCGTGGCTGTTGCCGTGTGCTGGGAGCCGCTTCCTACCTAGGTCCTATTTGCATAGCACACTCCTTTAATGAAACAAATCTCAGAGCCTTAAGTCTCTTCCACCCGGGAGCAGTCTCCTCCTCAGCCTAGCCAGGCCACCCTTGCACCGACCATTCACACCTTCTCCAAGGCCCCGGAGATACAATTTCTCACCCAGTAGGGTGAGTTTCCGGTCACAGAACTTAGCCCTGCCCTCCACCCAGCCCTGCCTGGCACTGCTAGCTCCTCCGGCCTCTCTGGCTCCGTTTGGGTCTCAATCATCTCTGCTCCATTACTTTCCCTGATGGCCTCCAGGGGCTGGGAACGGAGGGGAGAGCTGGGGAAAGGGGAGGGTTGGGGAGGGGGGAGGGGAGGTCTGCTTGAGAGAGTGTTGGAATCCGTGCCTGCGCATCACCCGCTGCCATGAGTTATTTCAGCATCGATGTTTGTCTCGAGCTGATTATTCCAGCTCCAGAACAGGTGGAGCAGCCTGCGGTGGCTTATTCGTCAGCCAAGGCCATCTGTTCCCAACAAGCTGAGATTTGTAGCTGATTTCTACTGGGGAGCCAGGAGTGGGGGTGGGGAGGGACATGAAATTGCACTCAGGCCCTGGGGGACCCACTGTCCTTCCCAGTCCTTCTGGTATGCCTCAAGTCCCAGGTGGCCCTTCTACACCCAAACCTTCTTGTTTCCTTCGAGAAACTCCCTGGTCACTTGATTCAATAACAACGCTTTTTCCTTTTCCTTAAGAGGATAAACCTTCCCAGGTGGAAACAGACATTAGATGCACAAATCTATCAGCCAGTACAAAGTTGGGCCAGTGAGAAATGTCTCTTTAGAGATGGGGATATATATATATATCTCCATATGACCTCCATTTCACCTCCAGCCCCTTTATCAATAGGAATGTCCTTACCCAAAGCCATTCCCTGCAGGGCTCTGGGGTTTGGATTCTCTTCTCCCCATCCTCCCCACCCTCCAATCTGTTTCTTTTCCAGCTTCTACTCTCAGGCCTGCCGGCAGATGCCTGCTGCTTTAAGGGCGGCATTCCCTGAGCAAGGAGCCAAGCAGCTCCTAAGCAGCTTTGCCACATGGCTTAGCCACCCCCCACCACACCACACACAGCCCTGACATCTACACAGAGGAGGCTAAGAAAGAATCTTCCAGCCAGCCACACAGGACAGCGGAGGGGCCTTCTTTGGCGTTAGTGCCCACACCTGTACTGACTTTCAAAAATCACATACACATGTCATGTTAACAGCATAGATACCTTACAACACACACACACACACACACACACGCACGCACGCACGCACGCACGCACGCACGCACGCACGCACGCATGTGCACACACGGGGATGGGGTAGGGAAGGGGGTGTGTGTTTGGCTATGCTGCGGACTGGCCCTAGTACCTGGAGTTACAGATACTCACCACCCTCCCAACTCGGGCACACATGCATGGCTGGGAAGAGAACCCATGGCCTCACACATGTTCTTCACCACTCACAGCTATCTCGCTGGCCTGGGACTTGTTATATAGACCAGGCTAGCCTCGACGAACTCAGGAAGATCCATCTGTCCCTGTCTCCCAGAGTGTTGGGATTCAAGGCATTTGCTACCACGGCCAGTTGTCCTGTGTACTTGTAACCTTTAACAGCCCATTAACATCTATAAAACCATTTCTCTGTCCCATCCTCTTCCCTTCCCACCCTTCTTCCTTTCCTTCCTCCATTCTGGGGATGGAACCCAGGTGTTGCAGAGGCTAGACAAGCATGGTACCCCTGAGCTACATCTTCAGCCCCAAGCTGCCTCGCTGCTCTCTAGGTTTATTCCAGTAGGTCCTTGTGAGCAGGAGCAGCCTTCCTATCACCAGTGCCTGCTTGGTGGCTAAGTATGTGTCCACTAGGAAGAGATGCCCCCCTAGAAGAGCTAAGGTCCATGGAGGCACATCACAAGACTTGTCCTTGGCACAAAACCTTCCATAGCCACCCACCAGGGTTACTATGACTTGCTCTACATCATATAGTAGTACCTAGGGGCAGGACTGTGCCCTCCAGCAAGGGTGCCAACCTGTACTTGATGCCAAGCCCCGGGGTTTAAATGAGACACTGACCTATTTCATCACACATGATTTTATGTGTCTGGCTGCTGGCCGTTGACCTGTCTTTCAAAGACTCACTGTTTCAAAGCGGCCAGCTCCACCTTCCCACAGCACCACCTTTCCCCCCAACTCCCTTTTTTTTATTTTATTCCCCACTTTGAAATCCCCTAGCGCCCTCTCTTCCCCAAATGCATTTGCTTCTTCTCCTAATCTAGTCAGATCGTAAATGTGGCACAAAACATATAAAAATTTATTAAAATGTGGAGACTCTTTGACTCTTGAGTCACCTCAAATATAATTTGCCTGAACGGTGTCAAAACTTAATATCCTTTAAAAAATTTTTTTTGATAAAACTGTCATAGCTGACTTTTGATATCAAAAGCAAATTCTATCTGCACATATAAGTATTCTGCTGGGAGATTTGTGCCACCAACTTCAATCGCAAAGCACATAGTCTTTCTGGAATCTCCCTGGTGGATATGACCCTCCGTAGGAGCATACACTACAGAAAACTCAATTTCTCTGTCAAATTCCTTCTAAACAGATCTAGCATCCTTGTTAGCTCCAAAATGGCTATTGCTTTGGATCTCTCTCTTCCCAGATCAAATCTCAAGAATGGTCTGGATTGTTCTGTCATACTGTCCTGAAATTAGATGAAGTGAATATCACTTAAAATATGCACTCAGAGCCGTGTGGAACTGTTATTCATATTGTAGGCACAGTGGGAGTGCAGTGCAAATGTGATAATGTATGGGGGGCGGAGATGCTCTGAAAATTATAAAGAGTAACACAAATGTGAGGTAGGCATTTTATCCCTAAATTGCCAAGAGCGTTTTCTTCCTCAGGCTGGGCCTGCTGAATACCAAGCACATAGCAGCTATGACAGTAGGTCTTCACTTTCCTGCCTCTTCTTTCTTTTTCTGACAAGCCTGGAATGGTTCCAGATGCCTGGCCAGCTGCTGGAACCAAGCAGAAGAATTTGCTTGAAAAGCTGACATCACCTCTCTGAACCCCAGGGACCTGGGGGGAGAGGGGGACAATGACACTTAACAGAATTGTGAGGGATTATGCCAGCCAAGTGCGCACAAGGGCTGGAGACCCAGCAAACTCGGGGCATGGGAGCCATTGCTACCTCCTCAGCAAACAGGGAACTGGGAAGCTCTCCTCCCACTCACCCCACTCTCCTCCACCCCGGTCCACCGTTGCCTCAGCCCCAAGACTTCAAGAGGCCTTAAAAAGGAGGGAAACGGCTTCCTTGGCCTTCTTGATGCTGAAACCATTAAAAGGGCAATGCCGAATGTGATGAAGACTCCAGAACAATCCAGACCACGCTTGTGATTTGATCTGGGAAGAGACAGCTCCAAAGCACTTGGGAGGCAGTTTGAGGCCAGCCTGGTCTACAGACTGAGTTCCAGGACAGCCTGGACTACAGAGAGAGGTCCTGTAACAGGCAGAAAAAAAAAGGCAATGCCATACACAAGGCCCTGTCAACTGCTTGAGACAAAGCAAGAATTGCCCTTTTAAAATGTGTGGCTTCTGGGAGCAATATGGGGGAATCAAGGTGGGGGTGTGGAGCCAGAGTCTACTGAGCTCTAAAACCAGGGCTGTGGACTTGCAAATAAGATCTGACTATGGCGCACACCTTTAATCCCAGCACTCGGGAGGCAGAGGCAGGTGGATCTCTGTGAGTTCGAGGCCATCCTGGTCTACAGAGCGAGATCCAGGACAGGCTCCAAAACTACACAGAGAAACCCTGTCTCATAAAGACCAGCACCTGCCTGGTCTGGCAGAGTGGGGAAGGAAAGAGGGTGATGAGGGATGAGACCACTGGATGGAAGCCAAGCTCAGCTAGATCATGAGCTTCCCCAGCACCCAGGCCTCCCAGCCCTATGGGTGCCACCTCCGCCGGGTGCCCTGGCTGCAGCAGTGAGCTCTGAACTTAGGAACAAAAAGCTCTTGCTAGCAACACCACTCACTTTACAAATGGGGAAACCGAGGCCAGAAGAGTCAGCCCCTTTTCCAAAGGTTGCGAAGTCGGTAGCCTGTTGGTTTTTGCCACTGTGCCTGAACTCCGACTGAGATAGTGTATTGTCAGCTGCCCCAAAGGCAGAACCGTGGTGCAGGGGTGTCCCTGGGCTAGAGGGTTTAGAGAAGACTGTAGCCCGGGGAAAGATGAAAGGATCTGTAGCTGCGAGCAGCGGGCGGGGACAGACTAGCATAGTCCCGTCTGACATGTGCTGCTGTGTAAGAGGTGATGAGTTGTTCCGGGTTCCCGAGAACCGGCTCCAGCTCCGAGGAAATGAAAGGGGAACAGAAGGGATTAAGGTTAGATTTAAGAGAGCACTTTCTCCCAGGGATGATAATGTGGCCCTTTATTCAGTGACCAAGGCAGGCTGTGAACTCATCCCCTGTCCCTCCCACTCCTGAGGCCTTTGGGAATCCATCTTCCAGTCCCACACAGCCTGCTTGGAGTGCAGGAAGCAAATGAGGTGGCTGACTTTAAAAAGTCCCCGCC